AGGCATTGGAAAGACGGCCTTTTCTGCTGAGTGACTTGGGGAAACATGAAGGCTTTTCAACAGAGAAGTGATCTGAGTTAGATTATAACTGCATTGAGAATAGGCTTTAGAGCAAGAGGAGAAGCAGGGAGACTACTGTTTAATTGCAGTAAACCAGGCAAAAGATGGCATGGCTTAGAGGTAGAGCTGGTGGAGAATGGGTTAGAATATAGAAATACACTGAGCCAGTGGTTCTCATAGGGTTTTTCTGGTTTCCTGGACTGCTAGCCCTTTCAATTTTTTTATCTGACTTTTCTGAGCAAAAACATTTATTCTTACATTTGTATTTTCTATGGCATCAATGAAAAATATTTAATGCCCATTATAGAGAAGAAAATATATTACTATAAGGGACAGCAGATAATCCACAAAATATAAGTAAATTCTCGAACTTTTTACATGACAGGTATTTACTAAATAGCTACTATCTCAAGACACTTCTAGGGGACTATATACGTAAGATATTGAGAAGAAGAAAAAGATTCTCAGAAGGTCAACTAGTGCTTGATTTTACACTTTGGGTATGGAATGAATGAGTTTTTCTTTTATTTCTCCTTTAAATATGCCAGTGAGGGAGAAAAAAACAGAGTACTGCAATTTCTTCATGCAACTTCTATTTTTTTGGATCTATTTTTTTGTTCAGGGACCAGACGTCTTTAAAATATAATATTATGCCTTAACAACGATGAAACTCCAACTTTAAAAAATTACAGAATGGTTTCTGTTTACAACATGAAGATTTTGCTATTTACTATTAGTAAATCCTCAATAATTTCATCCCTACTTCATATATAAATGTGATCTTTAGAGAGTTTCCCTAGAGATCTTTAGTTTTAAAAATTGGTAAATGTTTTAGGTCTCAGTTGAACCAGAGTGGCTATGCCTCACCCTCAATCCTTATATCCTCTGTATAAATCATTTCTTATGAATAATTGTGCACCCAACAGAGAGTATAATGTCTTTCAAGGGGTAGAAGGGGAAATTTACTAATTTGTATTCCACAGGGACCAAAGTAGTAAAATTTTTCTTGATAGCACTCTAGTAGTATAGAAGCAGAAGTTAGCCAGGTGTCACTCCAGTGAGCTGGAAACTCCAATTTACCTAATTTACTATTTAGATAACATTTAAATTACCCCAAATAATCCACTTTATTTTTTATTTATTTATTTATTTATTTTTTAACCAAAGTGAGACTCTCTTAAGAAGACAAACCCTGGCTAGTCATTCGTCTCCTAGGAATCTGTTTTTTTGTTTTTTGTTTTTTGTTTTTTTCTCTAAGTAGCCAGGTTGCCTCTCAAATATAAAGTTTTGCAAAGGGATCTACTTCTACACCTTCTGTAATCTGGAGTTATTCTATTTCTAGATTTAACTGAGCTTTAGAAAAATCACCAAAATGACCTCAAGCAGTCAGGACCGGGGGAAGGGTCCTGGTATCATCTACATCTCTCACTGAAGTCTTTGTTCCCTGGGCAAAACAGAACGTTTTCCGTGAGAGAAAACTCTGGGCAGTCAACTGTATGTTGACTTACAGTAGACAAAGGAAGTTTCCATGTAGACATGAAAGCTAAATCTTGGCCAGATGTGGTGGTTCATGCCTGTAATCCCAGCACTTTGGGAGGCCGAGGAGGGTGGATTGCTTGCCTTCAGGAGAGTTCGAGACCAGCCTGGGCATCATGGTGAAACCCTGTCTCTATGAAAAAAAAAAAAAAATAGCCAGGCACGGTGGCACACATCTATAGTCCCAGCTGCTTGGGAGGCTGAGGTGGGAGGATAACTTGAACTTGGGAGGTGGAGGGTTTAGTGAGCTGAGATTGTGCCACTGTGGAGCTGTGTCATTCCAGCCCGGGTGACAGAGTGAGGCTCAGTCTCAAAAAAAGAAAAAAAAAGCTTCATCTTGACATTTCTTTAAAAAAACTGAGTTTTTTTTTGTTTTTGGTTTTGATTTTGGTTTTGTTTTTTTTGTGTGTGCAAATTCAAAATAGTGCAAGAATCCTGCCTTTTATCATTTGGTATCATTGCTGTCATTTATTGAGCACTTACTGTGTGCCAGGTCCGATGATAATTATTTTATCCATATTTTCTCATTTCATTTCCTAAACAATCCTAGGAGTTAAGCTTTATTTCTCCTGTTTTAAGGGTAAGGAAGCTAAGGGAAGCTAAGGGAAGCTAAGGAAGGGTAAGGAAGCTAAGGGAAGTCTCTAAAAAGCTCAGAGATCTGAAAAACAATGGACAAATATTAACAGATAAATATTACAGAATACACAAATCAGAGAGGCTGGACTTGAACCTAGATCAATACATCCAAGGCATATTATCTTAAATGCTACATTATAGCTTCCTACAAGTTTTACAAATTTTGATGCAGACATATATTGCCTTAGGAAACATGGTAGTGTTTATTCTGCTGTTGAAATAGCAAGGTAAAATATTCTGATTGTCATGGTAAAACCCCAATGAGTGAAATGTTATGTTCACAAAAACTTTAGAATTTTCGGTAAGGAGTTGATAAAACATTGGTATATTATCATTTTAGGAGAATCCGTCAGGTTTTCATAGAAATTTCAGTAACACAAATTCAATAACTATCACACCTGAAAGTTCTAGATCAACACTGTCCATTTTCACAATTGTGGAAATGTTTTACATCTGTGCTATTCATTATGGTAGCCTTTATGCTTATGCTGTCACTGAGACTTTTAAATGTAGGTAGACTGAGGAGTTAAATTTAATTATATTTACTGTTCATTAATTTTCATTTAAACTTAAATTGCCACATGTTATAGGAGAGTGCAGTTCTGGAACGTCTATTGTGAGGTCGCAATATGAATAGTTAGGGGAAAGGAGAAAGATAATTCTCAACGGGTGAAAATAATTTTCTAAATGTTGCAAAAGCTGAATATTTCTAGTAGTTTCTGGTTATATCAAAATGAAATAGAGAAACAAAAGCTAAAGATTATTTGGTTTAGACGCAGCCAGAGAGCACCTGGCCCAACAACCGATGAGAAATCCTTTGAGCAATCCACATGGTCTCTGCCTATTGTTCCTTTGTCAGTTATGTTTTGACAAAAGATAATGATACACAAAAGTTTTAGTCATATTTTTAAAGTAAAATAATTATTTGGATTTTTAAAAATTAAGTAACACAAAGTGATACATCTTTTTGTTGTTGTTGTTGTTTTTAAATTAATTGATTTATTTTTTTTGAGACGGAGTCTCCTTCTGGAGCCTGGGCTGAAGTACAGTGGTGCGATCTCTGCTCACTGCAAGCTCCGCCTCCTGGGTTCACGCCCTTCTCCTGCCTCAGTCTCCTCAGTAGCTGGGACTACAGGCGCCTGCCACCATGCCCGGCTAATTTTTTTGTATTTTTAATGGAGACGGGGTTTCACCATGTTAGCCAGGATGGTCTTGATCTCCTGACCTCGTGATCCGCCCGCCTCGGCCTCCCAAAGTGAGATATCTTAATGGTAATAAATGCATTTTACTTCTATTTAGGTAATGGGAAAGATTATGGAAAAGACTACACACTTATTTTTCACTTGCAAAGAAAACCTAGGCTGGAACTCCAAATCAAAGAAGTGGACGAATTTGGAAACTATAGCTGCCCTCATTATAAAGGCACCATTGTCGTTTATAAAGTACCTAAAGGAAAGATAGTCCCCAACTTGAATCAATCTCTCGTAATTAATGAAAACCATTCTCAGTTGCCAATTTGCAAATTACCATTGAAATTGCCAAAGGTGAGTTATTTTACTTTTCTAATTATTACATTTTGTTACTTATTTAAAATTCTGTAACAATCAGTTTTGCAGGCAGAGAGACACACACAGTTAAAAGAAAAGGTAAGAATAGAGTTAATAAAGAAGGGGTAGGTAGGTCCAATTTTAGAGTATCAGAAAACGTGTTAGGATTTCTCCTTTTATTCGTATCAGCCTTTCTAACAAGAATGCTTCAGATTGGTCTGGTCCTCACAGTATGTTGTTGCTAACTATGAAAATAATGTCATTCATTTTCTGGAACTGCCTCTGAGTCACTGGAAAATCATTTATGAAAAAAAAATGCATTTCAGAGCACATCACTTTAAGGAAAAGTCATGGTGAAGAGCAAAATGACCTCAAAATATTTACATTGAAACTTACCATATTCTGCGTGTTTGTTTCATGAGTTATACTTGCCTAAAATTCTTACTCATGTCAGAAAGTAGGATTAAATTATTTCTTTGAATATATCTAACACACAAATAAATACATTTTCTTGCTGTATATTACAATTTCTTTCAGTGAAACAGGACTTGTTGAATCTAAACTACATTTTTAATAAGAAATATAACTGAAAAATTTACTTCATTAATCTTGAGGTAAAAACAAACTTCTTATTCTTTAAAGAAAGCTAAAATCACTTTCCCATGTTTATATTTTTTGTGTGTATGACTAGCAGAAATGTGTTTACCATGTGGTTAGATTTTGTTCTGATTTAAAATAAATCATTAAAGTAATTTAGCAAATATTAATATTGAACTTCTGAAATAGGGGATGTGCTGCGCTAGGCTTTGTGATAAATACAGAGCTGTAAAGGATAATACATGCCCTAAAGCTGTGTTGTTCTGAATGGTCACTACTGCCCATATGTGGCTATGGAGCACTTGAAATATGGCTAGTCTAAACTGAGATGGGCAGTGAGTTTAAGATAACCGCATTTCAAAGACTCAGTAATATATATATGATCTCATTAATAATTTGTTTATATTGACTGCATGATAAATTTATATTTTGGTTATACTAGGTTATAAAAAATATATAAAAATTAACTTCCTCTTTTATTTTTTTAAACATTTTAGTTACTATTAATAGAATATTTTAAATTATATATGTATCTCAAATTATATTTCTATGGAATAGTGCTTCTGTAAATGAATTTATAATCCAGTGAACAAGTACACAAAACATATACACAAAATTACGTTGTAAGATAGTAACTGATTGAAGTTATATTTAGATGATATAAGCAGTGGTACTAACAGTTGGTACTAGATGGTATTAATAGTTGTTCAGAGAAGGGAAATGGCTTTTCCACAATCTGTAACCAGTAGAAGTTTGTGGTATTTGTGGCATTTTATCTGAACTTTGTAAGTTGGTGGAAATTCAGCCACTGGAAATGAAGAAAAAAGGCAAGTTAGGGGGAGAAAATACAGTGCATTTGACTGGGGTGGTAAGCATAGCTTAGCAGGAATTCACAAGCTGTGTAATAACCATTGTAATAATGTCTAATATGCCAAAGGCCTTTCAAATACTTTACATGCATTGTATCACTAAACCCTCACAAAAGTCCTACGATACATAATTGTTCTTACTTTGTGGGAAACTGACGCACAGACATTTTAGGCAACTTGCCCAGGTTCTCATGGCTAAGTAAATGGCAGAGCTAAAATTCAGACCCAAGAAATCTGCTTCCTGTGTGTTGAATGGCTATGATGCTGTCACTTTGTTAGCACATAAAGCTAGGATTACTAGTCAAAGATACAAGATGGATTTTAGGGCATCTAGGTTCACATTTGATGTATGATGTCTGTGCTATGCTTTACTATAGAGATAATATTAGAAATATTTAACAAATGATATGACCTGAATACCAACCAGTGAACTTGAAAGCAGCCCTCAGTAGGTTCCTGGTGACATTAACTTTACTTGCTGTTTTTGAGGAGATCCCGGGGTCCCTGGTAAGTACGCATAAGTAGAGGAATTGATTAAGCCATTGATACTGAAAATGATACTTTCATGACAGTATAGCCAAACTGGTGTACATCTACTATCAGTTTTGCTTCTGTGCGTTTTCATTTCCACTGTAAGACTTTGCACCATATGGCCGTTACCTATGCATGCGGCACTTTTCCCTGAGATAGTCCCATAACTGCTTCTTTATCATTCAGGCCTCAGCTCAGATGTCACTTGTTATTCTTATTCCCTTATCTCCCAATCTGAAGTCGCTTTTTTAACTTGTCACCCTTTCTCGATTTACTTCCTAACACCCATCATTGATTTTTTTAGATTTATTTGTTCATATATTTTCTATTTTTCTTTGCTTCTTTAAAAAGCAAACTCTGTGAATGAAGGATCCTGTCTATTCTATCCAGGTTCCTTCTTCTGTGATTAGAAAAGTGCCTGGCACATAGCAGGCACCCTAAATATCTATGACTTGATGAATAAGGGGAGGTCTATAGTTTTCTCTCCAGATTCTAAAAGTTTAAGAACTATTGACTTGAAGGAATACTCAAATTCTCTCTGTTCCATAGTTTAGAGCTTGATTCTACAAACTCTTAACTGGCACACTAAGGCATCGATGTGGATCAACATGAAGATCTGGAGTGGAGAGGGGTACATAAGGGCTGCTCTCCAGGCAGCTCAGCCGGCACATTACTTCCAGCAGCACCATGTTGCTGTGCTTCCATGAGAGGATGAAAAGGAGACAAGGCAGGGGTGGTTGGAATTCTCTGGCGAGAGGGGGTAAGGGCCTTACTGAGATGACGGCAGACCATGGAAAGAAGGGCCCTTATGTCAGAGAGGACAGACGTGAAGTCCCAAAATGTGACAGGAATTCAGCTTTCACTTATCAGTGTTTTCTCTGTTGCCTGACTTTATAAAAGTAGCCAAATTAGTCAAGCCAATTAGCCAACATAGATAATTTAGGGGTTTGTGTAGATTTTCCTCAGTAAAAGTCTGTGTTTACGATTGTCCAGTACTTTTGCATCAGCTTCTTCTCTGCTTTGCTTCTAACACACCATTCCTTACCTATGTGCCTGAATAATTCTTACTGAACCTCTTTCACATTGGTGCTTAAGTGCAACCTCTCCAAGGAAGCCTTCCCTCACTCCTCCTTTGTAGCAGGTTAAGTGTTCCTGGTATATGGACCTACAGCGTTTTGTACTCTCCTTATCACTGTAGTTACCATATTTCATGACAACCACTTGCTTGTTTCCTTCCCTTGTTGCTGTAATGGTTTTTCAGGGAGTCTTTTTCCTGAAATATTTTTTTCTAATCACCCCTCCTTGTGAAATTTTATTACCACAGATATATTGTGTGTCTGTTTATATACTACATATTTATCTGTGTTTTATACATCTAAAAGAATAAGCCTTTTTGTGTCTCACCCAGGGACGAATTTTCTCTCCCCAAGGGTGACATTATCAAAATTGAGAATGCATTCAATAAACTGCGCAGGCACAGACCCTGTCCCACTCAACTCTCTATTGCCAGTGCGGAGAGATAGTACATGCTTGATAAATATTTGTGACTAACTAGATGAACAAGATAATTTCTGCAAACCTTACAATTACTCAGCCTTGAAATTGATAATCCTGAAACTATATTGGCATGTTTAAAAATAGTACATTTAAATGTCTGCTGCCTTTCATAGATGAATCTACTGCCAATAGGCCATCTGTGCTTTCTTTTTATCCCAGATGGGTTTGTATAGGGCTTTCCAAATTCACTCCCTGGGCCCTTTCTTGTGCCCAAAGTCTTCAGAAATAAGTTTGTCGGGTTGAAAAAGAATCTGTGGCTGTGGGAACTTTTTTCTGTTCAAACTAGTGTAACTAAATGGGAATTGAAACCATGACATTTATTTTTGCAAGATGAGACTTATTTCATAAAGTTCAGAATTTAAAAAATTCACCTCAACTAAGCAGTATTAGAATGTGCTATTTTTCAGGAAATGGAAGTAGCCTAATATAGTAACAGCTTGGCATTAATGAACATGACACTATGTGGGTATTTATACATGTAGCATAAAACAAATTAAAAGTGTTTCACGGAGAACCCACAGCAAATATTTACATATATGTATATAGGCATAGAACCACACACAAAATTATAGAGTGTGATGTAAATATACTGTATCTGATTCATAAAGATGAGAAGACATATCACTTTTACTTCATACTTGTGAGGATCTCTGTGTCTCTTATTCTACAGCCTCTGTAGTTCATTCATTCATATATTAATTAATTCAACAAACAGTGTATCCCAAAGCCTCAATGTATAGTGGTGTTCTGGTTTGTAGGGTCTCATTCTTCCCTTTCTTCTTTATAGCCTGTTTTCTTTTTTTTTTTTTTGAGATGGAGTCTCGCTCTGTCGCCCAGGCTGGAGTGCACTGGCCGGATCTCAGCTCACTGCAAGCTCCGCCTCCCGGGTTCACGCCATTCTCCTGCCTCAGCCTCCGGAGTAGCTGGGACTACAGGCGCCCGCCACCACGCCCGGCTAGTTTTTTGTATTTTTTAGTAGAGACGGGGTTTCACCGTGTTAGCCAGGATGGTCTCGATCTCCTGACCTCGTGATTCGCCCGTCTCGGCCTCCCAAATTGCTGGGATTACAGGCTTGAGCCACCGTGCCCGGCCTATAGCCTGTTTTCAACTAAGAGGCAGAGTTATCCCTTAAAGCAGAGGTCCCCAATCCCTGGGCCATGAAATGATAGCAGTCCGTGGCTGGTTAGGAACCAGGAGGTGAATGGTGGGCAAGTGAGCAATGCTTCATCTGTATTTACAGCCACTCTGCATTGCTTGCACTACTGCCTGAGCTCTGCTTCCTGTCAGATCAGTGGCGGCATTTGATTCTTGTAGGAGTGCAAACCCTATTGTGAAATGCACCTGCAAGGGATCTAGGTTGTGTGCTTCTTACAAGAATCTAATGCCTGATGATCTGTCATTGTCTCGCATCAACCCAGATGGGATCTTCTAGTTGTAGGAAAACAAGCTCAAGACTCCCACTGATTCTACTTTATGGTATATAATTATCTGATTATATATTAAAATATAATAATAATAGAAATAAAGTGCACAATAAATGTCAGTTGCCTGAATCATCCCGAAACCATCCCTGCAACATGGAAAAATGGTCTTCTATGAAACTGGTTCCTGGTGCCAAAATAGTTGGAGACTACTGCCTTAAAGTATCAGTCAAATCATCTCATGCCTCTGCTCCAAACCCTTCAGTGGCTCCCAGCTTCCTTCAGAATAAAGGCTCTGTGTGAACTTGGCCCTCACTGACTCCAGGGCCTTCTCTGCTCTACTCTCCTCCTCACTTATTCAATCATAGTGACCTTCTTGAGTTTTTGGAATATGCCACACCTGCTTCTGCTCTAGGTCTTTGTGCTAGTGATTCCCCTTGCTGGAATGTTCTTCCATCAGATACCTGCATATCTGTCACCCTTACGTCCTTCACTTCTTTGCTGAAACTTCACCTTCTCTCTGTGGTTTATCCTGACTCTAATGTTGCAATCTACTCTTACCCCTACAACCTGACATTCCTAATCCTCTTTAATCTGCCTTATTTCTTTTCCTCTAAATCATTTCTCCATTTTTACATGTATTTCTTCATTTGTACATTTCTTGCAGAAAAACCCTCTATTCCATAACTAGAAAGTAAGCTCTGTGAAGATGGGGAACATTTTTTGTTCACTGCCAAATCACAAGTACCTAGAATGGTGTCAGGCGTAAGTGAGATGCTCGATAAACATGAGTGAATGTGTACATATCAATATAACTTGCATTTTATGGACCAAAAATGTAAGGAGGAAAGTTAGAAGTGCCAAAGAAGAAAATAAATTAGCATTAGAAGATGGACACAGAATTCGTGGTGTGAATTGGCAGGTGGGATTGTTTGGGAAGACCTCACTGTGGAGGGAACTACTGGGCTGAGGAGCAACAGGAGACCAGAACCTTCTTATGTGGCCAGGAGAGCATCCAAGTGGGAGATGCAGCAAGTTCCAAGACTCCGAGATGGGCACGCGTTTCAAGTCAAGGTCTCGAAGGAAGGCTGTGATGGTCAGCGCACATGTGAGGGCTACAGAAAGATGATGAGGTTTGTAAGATAGGAAGCGTCCTGGTGACACTTCATATTGCATATAATCTTCTGAAAATGATCCCATAAACAATATATTTGAAAATATGTGGCTGAAAAGAATAATGATTCACCCCTATATCTTTCTTAAGTTGTGCCTCAGCCTTTCTCCTTTCACAAAATGTTCAAGTAAATTCAGTTCACACTGTACATAATTGTACTTTGGCAAAAACAAGGCAAGTTTCAAAAAAACTCTCAAAGGTTTTTTAGGTGGAAGGGAGTGGAGAGAATATTTTGTGCGTGTGTGCGTGTGTGCGTGCCTCTGAAGTCACACCAGATAGGTGACTGCAGGCCGTTTGCTTATTTGTGCTAGCTTGGGTTGTGACTGCTTTTGACTCCTTCCTCCTACTTGGAGGTTTTGCTTTGAAGGAAAGAAGGGCTGCAGATCTGATTGCTGTCACCTATTCGAGGCTGGAGTTTCCCAGTAAAATCTAACCCACGTATTTACGTAAGCGACCTGTTGACCCAAGTTTTGCTTAGCCTGAACTTCCTGGATTATTGTTTTTTTAAAACTGAACTCCTGACATGTGATTTCTAGTAAATAATGATACAGCTTCAACA